CCTTTTAATGAAGCCATTCCTTCCTCATCATGTGGCACCTACTTCCCCTTTCCTATATCCCAGGCACTCTGCCACATTTACTTCCTTCATGGAATGAATCAGATGGTAGCTCAACTCTATTTATTACTTCAAGAGAATGGATTATTCAATAAGTGTACTGGGAAAGTTGATTGCTCATATGGGAAAAAAGTTAGTTAGATTCCCTATCTCACACCATATAAAAAAATTCCCCAGGAAGACCATCCATGTGAATATAACAGACAAAACAGAAAAAGTTTTGAGGAAAGTATAAGAAAATATCTTCATGACCACTGGATGGGCAGCATTTACTTATATGAGACTAATATTTCTACTAACTGAAAATTACAATAGCCACTGAGTAAAAGATTAGCAAACATGAGAGCAATAAAATTAAGAATTTCTGTTTGGGCTGGGGATTTAGCTCAGTGGCAAGATGACTGCCTGGCAAGCGCAAGGTCGTGAGTTCAGTTCCTGGTACCGGAGAAAAACAAAAAAACAACAACAACAAAAAAATTCTGGTCATGGAAAAGCAGCACAGAGTGAAAAAATGTCACTAACAGAGTGAATATATTTTCCAATCAAACAAGAAAAGTTTTAATGGAATAATTAAAGAACTCTTGAAAACTAAGGTAAGAAAAACAATTTAATAGGAAGTGAGTGAAATACAAGGACAGAAACTTCACAGGAAAGGAAACATGAATGGGCAACTAAAGAGGATGCCACACTTTTAGGTTAAAGTGAACACTTAAACTTAGTGGTAAACAGGAAAACAGGAACTGATATCACAGCAAAATTTTTTGTATCACTAGATTGGCAAAAAATTAAGAAAATCTAACATCAAGTTTTGAGGAGAATGTAAGGCAGTAAAAATCAAACATGACTGTGGGAGTGTAAACTGAAACAGTTGCTCCCCTGCCTGAGGATGATTGCCTTATAAGCATCCCACTCCTGCTTCTCTGGCCCCAGAAATGCCGGCGAAGTAGGTAACTGTTGCATGTGTGTGCACAGATAGCCTCGCTTCCTCACCCTTCCACACCCGGGATTTAATTGCGCTCACAAAGGCCCGCCCCCATGACTTGAAGCATCCCATCGGCAGTCACAAAGGCCAAGGAGCTCCAGGTTACGGCCACAATGCAGCCTCAGCTCTCCCCCATCGTGCCCAGCAGCCACAGTGGTCGCAGAGCCGTTGGGGGTCTTACATATCTCATACACACAGCCAAGTGGGGGAACAATGTGACAAATTATGAACAAGCTCCGAGCAGAGGCTGTGGAATTCTTCCTTTTGTCAGCTTCTGTCACGTGTCAGATGAGCTGCTGGGCAAGGGGGAGGACACGGTGGGGGACATGGCAGGAGCAGGAGGCCAGCCCAGGGCTACGGGAACAACACTTCATCACGCTGCGGAATCTCTGTCTCTGTCTTTCTCTCTCATTCACAATAACTATTATTCCAACTCTAGTTTTTCCTTTTAAATCTAAATATCCTATCTAAATATTACTACTATTCAATTCATTCCTAAACAAAAGAACCCAGGAAATCTTTCTGCAGTCCCTTCTCTCAAGGGCTAAACACAAAAGAGCTCCAGTGACATTAATGGTCAAACTTGGGCCTAACACTTCCTGCCCTTCTTTTCCCGGTGGCTCAATTTCCTCACCTGTAAAGAACGATGAGATGACAATAAGAGAACCTATTTCATTCAGTTATCATAGGATCAAATATCTACTATAAAAGACTTAGGCCAGAATCTGGGACATAACCTTTAAAATGTGTGCCATTGTTATCATTATAATTATTTCAGTCCTGAGGCCTCACACATGCTGGGCTAGCACTCTACCACTGAGCTATACATCCTTAACCCTTATTACTATTGTTACAGTGTTAGTAGAAATATATACATAATGGTGATTTGAACCACTCTCTTTCCTCTTCTGTGACCTCCTTGCTTCTTAGCAGGTCATTCTAAGAAGGACCACCACTAGTGTTTCGTTTACACCTTATAGTACTTATCAGGGGATGGGCTCAAAGACTTTGCAAGCCTCTGTTTTCTAACAAAAGGTGATATCCCAAAATAGACTCTGTCATTGATGCCCCCAAAATTGACTTAAGGATGCCACTGAACAGGGACTGGAAGGTTTCTCTCAAGTTATCTTCCCAAATTTTGTTAGGAGACAAGTTTCATGTTTTCTCAGGATAAGGACAAAAAGCATCCTTTATGCAAACAAAGCCAGAACACACCATTAATCATTTTGGTGTTCCAGGTGCAAATCCTTAAGTTAAGGGCAGCCCTTTTTAGTTAGTAACCTGTTTTCGCAAGGTCTTTACCAAATTGTTAATTGCAGTGATTTCTTCTCTCTTTTGCTGAAGAGGCATTCAGTAAAGTCACATCTTTTGCTGATATAGCTCTGAGTAGTTTTTATTTGATAGTGAACCATTTGGAGACTTAAGGCAGAGCTCATCACGGATTTGTAAATTCTTCACAAATCTTAAGGAAGTGAAAGAGGAAGAAGAAATCAAAGTCTAAACTATTTCTTGTTGCATATTAGAAATCTAGAAAGGACTCATTTTTAAATAGCTGAAGAGAAAGAATAGAATAAAGTCTTATGTCTTTTTATTGTTATTGTTCAAGGTTAGTCTTGAATTTGCAATCCTCCTTCCTCTGCCTCCAGTGTGGTTGGAATTCCAAGTGTGTGCTGCAGAGTAAAATGGTAGTCTGCTGTCTTCCTCCTAAGTATTAGAATAATTACTTGTGAGTTTGGGGCAATTAATACAAATTGTTTCTTGGTGAGACTTTGAACACTTGTTAGGCTTATAAAAAGTAGCCAGTGTAGGTTCCACAGGAAACTGAGCACTTCTGAAGACAGAACCCTCTGTGGGGTAGGAATCAGTAGCAGAAACACCATGGCTTGCTTTGTCACAAACTGAAATCTCTTGAACTCTACAACTGGATTTCACCCTGAGTCCCATCACTGTGCCCTGGAATGGGCTGTCTGTTAAAGGAGAAGAGCATAAGTCCTGATTTCCAGAGTCTTCTCTCACTGGGAAACCAAGACCGTGCAGAGCAAAGCAGCCAGGCAGTAAGTCCATGGTCAGCAGAAGCTGGGACCCTAAAGATGTTCAGCTATGTACCAGGCATGGTAGCACAGGCCTATAATCCCTGATACTTGTGAGACTGAGGCAGAAGGAGGGTAAGTGCAAGGTCAGCCTACCCTGTCTCAAAATAAAAAGAATGGGAAAGTAGCTCACCCCCGAGTAGCTCACTACTTGTAGTACACCCCTGAGTTTGAAAAAAAAAAAAGTTAAGCCATGGAAGAAGGAGTAGTTGCTATTGTTGGTAGAAAGGCTCCATGGAACAGGAGGCTGAGAGGGTACTAACATTTAGAGGACTAAAAGAGAATGGTGGGCAGCCCAGGAGGCTCACCATTGTGGATTCTTAGGACAGTCACTTCATTCTCTTCTCTTTGACTATGGCAGCCATTAAGAATCAATCATCATGAATCAGTCATCACTAATCAATCAAGCCTCCATTCTCTAAACCACTAGTTTAGTCAAGGTTTAGAATCCTTCTCAATATAGCATTCCTGGTAGACACTACCAGTCATTTACAGTTAGTTCAGAATGTCAAGTTTAGCATCCTTCCAGCAAGGGAAAATGGCATGAGTAAGCACATAGGTCTAGGAGTTAGACTTGGACCATGAACAGAGGTTTGCTGCTGACCCTAAGGAAATAGAGACAGATGAGCAGGATGGGGCCTCAACTCTCACATTATGTATACATATCGGGATGTGGGGAGAGGAACAGGATTAGAAATTCCCACCTATATTTCTGACAAGTCTTTGTTCGTTGTAAACCCAATGGGTTAAACTGTAAGTCACTCTGTAAACTATTTACCCTCAAAGCTATACATTTCAGGGTGCTATTAGTTGAGATGAGGATGAGTATTTTCCTGAAAGAGCAGGATATGACCTCAGAATTGCCTTTGCAGTATACTTGAACAAACGCCAACAAGAGTCCTATACAGCGTGAAGGGTGCACCTTCCTTTGGAGACTAACCTTGTGGCTTCATGGTGGCCACTCATGTTGCCCTCTACACTACATCTGCCTCTACAAACTCAGGGAGAGGAATTTTTAGCCAGGAAACCTTGTGTCTCCTCTTACCTATAATCTGCAGCAACTCAGACCTTGGTCTCTGCCCTCCTCCTCACATGTCCCTGGGAAGGGGCTGAGCTTGGAATCTGATACAAAGGCCACTTGGAACGGCTGGAGGAAAACCATGCTTTTGCTTCTCTTCCTTCCTCTCATTCCCCCATAAAACATCTTGTCTTCCATGTTCAGTAAGATAAGTCGCTTTCATGGTCACTGAGATGCCACCAAACCATAGATGCTCATCTAAGCCAGAGACTTAGCTATCAGGGCTGTAGGATTGTGATAAATCTAAAGTGTGTCTTCTGAGGATGGGATGTGGCTCAGAGGTAGTGCTAGCCCAGCATGCACAAGGCCTTGAGTTTGACCTCCAGTACTGCAAAAAAAAAAAAAAAAAAAGTAAACAAATAAATAAATACACTCCATTTTCCACAACTGCAGAGTGCTCTTCCCCATCCCAAATGAAACCTTCTTCACTAAAACATGAGTACTTTGATTTCTTGCCATCCACACTCTTCACAGATCCATGCAAGAAACAAAACCCTCAAGTAAAAGAATCCAGACAACCAGGCACAAGTATATCCTGCAGACATCAAAACTGTCAGGCAACTTCCCTCCCACCTCCACATTCCAGAGGAGATTATTGATTGTCCCCAGAGAAAGAGGCCAACTAAAAAGGAAGATACCCAGTTGATATGCTAATCCCACAAAAGAAGCAATTGCTTCTCCCTGACTGCCAGATCAATGGGAACACAAGGCCTGAGCGACAATTTAGAAGTTATCATTTATAAGAAACACAGCCACCACCCCCATCTTGGGATAAAGATTTAATTTTATTTTAGGAAGGTGAAGGTGTCTTCTTTTCTGTTTAACTTGAAGGTACAAAGTGTGTATCTTTTCCTTTCTTCCTTGCTCCTACATGGAAGCTTTCACACCAAATTTTGTTTCCCGACAAGAGGAAAAATCACTGTCCTCTTTGTAGTGCCAAGGGTCCCCTACCCCCAAGCTTTTGTGTCTGCTGGAGATCTTGGAGAGTACCCTGGCAGGCCACATTCAGCGATTTTATCCCGCTAGTCACAGCCTTCAAGGAATAAATATCTAACACCTTGTTCCCTGTAGCTGTTCAAAAGCCACTGTCACTGGGCTATACTGGTGGTTTAAAAAAAGACTATAATTCATATGCAAAGTGGAGGAGGATTTTCATGATTTCATAATAAAATGTTGAGACGCTTTGATCCGTAGTTGTAAGGAGGTGTGAAACAGTGCCCTGAAACAGACAGATATTTGTGTAAGCATCCTTTCTGTATTGCCAGTGCAGAATAATAACATATCAAAGCCCCAACTTACCTCATCTGCCTGGTACAGCCAAGGCATAAATAAAGGGGAACAATGGAATTACTATTACTCACTCTCTGAGAGCCAGCGACATCACTGTATCCTTTATAATTGCTGGCAAGAAGATTAATGTTTTGTTAAATATCAGAGCAAGGTCACAAGGGGGCTTGCAGGCCTGTCTAAACATCTAGTCTTTAAGCGCCTTCTCTCTCACTTGCCTCTTTTTTCCCCTCTTTTGCGGAAATGAACTTGTAGCATTTCCTCTAATTATGGTGATTTTTGCTTCTGAAAGCGGGCCTACATCATCACCTCACTCTGAACACGCTCACACACGTGCACACACACCCGCACATCTTCCCCAAAAGATATTTGGGGACAGGCTTGATTTAGCTGCAGCATATGGGCAATGTTGTTATGAGGTGACCTTGCCCTTTTAGCCAACATGGATAATTCATTGCCTGTCACTGTGAACCAAAGCAACGGGCTTGTGCTGAAGAAATCGACTTTATTGGGGTCCTCAAGGGGCTCCCTCCAAAAAGACTGCCATCATCATTCGCTGAGCTTCTGTTATGTTTAGCCTGTATGCCTGTCCATACAGATGTTTTCAACAGCAAACAGTTCATGACCCAGAAAGAACAAAATATTTTGGCTTTCCCTGCCTTTCAGCACCTGTTTAAACCAAAGGGCCTTCAAATCTCTCTGCACAGATTAGAAGGAGCAGCCAGTAACTGGATAGAGGCCACTTCATGGTGGAGCCAATCTTGCAATGGGGTGGCAAGCTCAAGTCCCTGCATGCAATGACCCTTGCTGTCTTAATCCTCAGAACTGTTAGAGGAAGACAAACAGTGGGTCCCAAGAAAGATCTATCATTTTCATACTAGGAATTTCACATGTACCTGCCAATTTGTCTGTACTACATTAGAGATTAATCCAGATCTTTCATGGCTATGCCTCCATCCTTTATTCTACAGTGTTCAAGGGCTTGCCTGATACCACATCTTCGATTCAGCTCTGAGTTCTAGTCATTTGTCATTTGTGTGATTTCTACAAACTATGGTAGACTTTAAAAGTTCTTCTAGATTGAATAATCAGAGCATGATTCTGGGGATAGTGGGAGCTCTTTAACATTTTCTCAGAGGGAGCAAATATCAACACTTAGAGAGCTTGGGAACAACAAAAGTTCTTATAGTAACGTTAAGTATACAACAAGTGCTAAGGGAATCTCTCACCTCTGGCAAGGTCTGAAAAGAAAAGCTCTGGAAGCTGCATAGGTGCAGTGGGTACCTTTTAAACAGCCCCTCTGTCTCACCACTCCATATTCCTGCCCTGGGCAAAGCGTTCTTAACTTGCAGCTACAGTTTTAAAAAGATTTGCTTATTTGTTTGTTTTTCTTCCTTGCAGCTCAAGGAGGAATTAAGAAGTAAAAGAGACAGATTGGAATGAAGGTGGGTGTAAGGGGCAATTAGATGTGAAATGGAGGATGTCCTGACTTTGGGGACCTGCCTCGGCTTCTGTAATCTCAGCAACAGCTGGAGTACAAGGCTGCAATTACCATGTGCCCTCTCAGTTCAGCATCAAATGAAAAAGCAAAGATGCTCCACTTAGTATGGATGTCTGCACTTCATGTGTTCTGTAGGCCCTCAAGAAATAGGTTAGAAGTTAGTAAGTGGATAGATGAGGATGTATGGATGGATGAGTGGGTGGGTGGATTGATGGATGGATAGATGGATGGATGGATGGATAGATGGATGGATGATTATAAAAATATTCAACACAAGGTAGAATAGGCAAGTAATACTCAACTACACCATGACCTACAGTCCAATTCCGGCTCACCACATCTTTTTCAAAAAAATGTTTTATTGACACGCAGCTATGACCCTTCATTTAAGTTTTGTCTGTTTTCATGATCTAATACTGAGTTGAAATATCATTATTGAGGAAATATAAGGTCTGCAAAGCCTAAATTATTTGCTATTTATTTCTTTATAGAGTATGTTTACCAACTCCTGAACTACATTTTCTGAGATTGCATGTAGTTTCCACTTTTTTGCATTGGTATTGATTGTGATGGTTAATCTTAATTGTCAACTGACTGGTTGAGAGGTGCCGAGGAAACTACTAAAGCACAGTTTTGGGCATGTCATTGGAGTGTGACCTTGAGGACTATATCTGGTCATGTACTCCTTCTTCTCCAGCTCTTTCCCTCTCTCTCAACTTCTTGGCTGCTAAAGTTGAGCAACTTTCCTGCACCAGGACCTCTGTCATGGTGTTTCTGCCTTAGAGTCATAGACTGAACCATCAGAAAACATAAGCCAAAATAAACCTTTTCTCCTTTAAATTATGTGTATATCTGGTATCTGGTTACAGCAATAGAAAGATGACTTATACGCTGACAAAACAAACAAAAAATAAGCAGATGCTATGACTTGCACGTTGTTTGCACATGTCCCCATGGGTTCATGGTTAGGAAGTTTAGGCTTCAGTGTCACAATTTTGGAAGATGGTGGAACCTTTAAGAGGTGAAGCCTACTGCAAAGAGATTGGGCCATTTGGCACTGCTCTTAGAAGGAACCAGCATAGCTCTCCTGGGATCCCTGGGTAGTTCTCCAAACAAGGTTGTTATAACAGAACAAGCCTGGTCACTCTCCACCCTCTCTGGGTTCCTGTCTCACCAGGTGATCTCTCCCTTTTGCACACTTCTGCCATGATGCAATTCACCATAAAGTGACTTAGCTGGGGGTAGGGGGATTATCACCAAATCTAGCTCCACACTCTTTAGGCTTTTCAGTCTCCAAAAGTGGGAGTTAAATAAACATTTTTCTCTACAAATCACCTAGCCTTAAGTAGTTTATGATGATCATGGAAAATGGACTAATATAGCAATAAAACTATATCATGAATGTTTTTGCACTAGTAGACGTGCTGGGTCATAAATAACTGAATAAGCATATTTTGGTAAAACAAGGGCAATAAACCAAGCCAACCATGTCATCTGGGACTCAGTTGAATAAATGATAATCTCTGCCAATGCATAATAAAGAAAAGTCAATGGGATGGATTTTTTGAGAGCCTACAAGGTATACACAAAACAAAATTGTTATATTTAGGGAATTTTAATATTGAAGTTAAAGGGAATTTTCTGGCACTGATTTGAACTGTATGTTATTTTTCCTGTGATTACATTCACTTTAGGATCTAAGAAGCTATCCCCATGATACCACTGAATCTTATAACCTTAACTTATAAATATGATGAGCAATATTATTTATGTTCACTGAAATGTGCATGTTGAATCTTTTCCTCCTGCTGGGCTGGGAGAATTACCTTACTTTGCTTCCCATGATCTGGGAGGAGCAAGAAAACAGCTGCTAAGATAAAGTGAATGTAATTTTGTGTCCCTTAGACATGTCAATCAAAAAACAGAGCAGGTTAGTAGATCTCCACTATCTGCTTCAGATCCGTAAACACTCACGGGTTGACAGAAAGGTCACAAAAACACATGAATTTGTCCAAGAAAACAGAGTTATTAGAAGCAAACATGTGGCAGTCTAACTCAGTGCCTTAGAGAACAATGCTGCACGATCTTGGAAAAGTTGCCCCTCAGGGAGGAAGGGAAATGGAAGCAAAGGAGGGTTGAAGGTGAATATGCAAAGTAGGCGTGGAAGTGGGTCCTTCTCCAACTGAGGTTCATATTGATTGCAACCCAGCTGACACCTTATTTGCAATTTCACATATAGAGATCCACTACACAGTTAAACTACATCCTGATTTCTGACCTATAGAAACTAGAAGATTATTTTTTCTGTTAAACTAATACATTTTGGGATAATTTGATATGCAGCAGTGGATAACTAACGTAGTCAAGATTTGCTTCCTAGTTTGCTTTGCCTTTTATCAACTTTAGTCCAAGGTGTTCCATCTTTGTAATAAACAATGTGTCTAGCATCTTTTGTTTGTTATTTTGAGGACTCAGATAAACTATAGACTATGAATAAATGACCAATTTTTAACTCTTAATTTTTTGAGGGTGATTGTTAATTTCTTGCTGAAGAAATTCTGTTCTGGTTACAATTGCTGCCATAAGCAACTGCTGGTGAAAACCTAGTGGCTTAAAGCAGTATTATTTTACTATACCTCCTGGACTATTTAACGCTAAGATTTGGACACTCTGTGGTTGAGCAATTTACTTGGCCATCAACGGATGTCACACAGATATATTCAGTGGATAATGGTCTAGTCCAAAAGGATCAAGGTAGCTCCCTGTGTCTGGAGGTCTTGACAAGAATGACTGTTAGCAATGTGAGATTTCATCAGAGCACCTACATGAGGCCTCTCCAGCACACAGGCTGCAAGGTAATCTGTCTTCTTACATAGCAGGTAGCTTCTCGAAGAAAAAGAATCTCGATAACTCTCACTTCATATTCATTCTCTAAACAAATACTCCTGATCAGATGGAGCACCTCATAGAGAGAACCCTAGATCCAAGAAATACTAGGGGTGGGGGAGAGAGATAATATATCCCAAATAAGTGAGAAAACATTGCCTTTCTCTAGTTCCCTCCTGGATGGCCAAAATGCACATTGACATATTAAAGACTTTAAAAACCAAGAGCACGATTTGTTTAATCAAATCTTCCCCAAATATATTGACTATTGAATTCTAATCTTGTTTTTGTGTAAGAAAAATTATGTGACACTTAGAAATAAGGTAAAAAGTTTGGTAAGGTGTTCTTTAAATATCAATTATGGTAGCAAAGGCCTTTCAAGGACTTGGCAAGGCAATGCTGCTCAGTAGAATGTTTTCCATGATGCATTCTGTGCTATTCACTATGGCAACTGCCAGCTGCATGTGAGCTACTGAGCACTTGACATGTGGCTAGAAAGACTGGAGGGACAAATTTTAATTTTATTTATTTCTAATTTATTCAAGTATTCAGATGAGTCTAGTGGAAACCATTTTGAATAGCATGAATCTATTGAAATACTCTTAGTTCATCTCATTTTATTTCCCAGACTTACTGAAACCACTATATCTTCTGGTTCCCTCAAATCTTTCCAGCTACCTCCAGGATCAACTCCTAATCAAACAACGAACTAAGTGATTCCTGACTTTTGAGGACATCTTCAGGACACTGCTCAAGGCTGAGGTTGTTCTGACTGGTTGTGATGGTTACTTTAATGTGTTATCTTAGCTGGGTCACAGGATACCCAGAGGGATAATTAAGCATTATTTCTCAGTACCTCTGTGAGGGTGGTTGCAAAAGAGATTAGCGCTGGAATTGTTGAGCTGAGTAGAGCAGGTGGTCCTCCCCAATGTGGTGGGCATCAACCAGTCCACCAAGGTCCTGGATAGAAGAAAAGAGAAAGGAAGGAATTCATTCAGCCTGGCTATATAAGCCAGGGCTTTGACCTTCTCTTGCCTTCATCACTCCTAGTTTACAGGTATTTTGTCTTGTATCTAGATGTTCCCCCAAAGCATCAGGCACTCATAGGTGGGGCTTTGGAGGGGTGACTGTATCATGAGTGTGTGATGCTGGATTTGGAGGTGTGATACTGGCATTTGAGGATTATAATAACTAAATTAGCTTAACATACTTCTGGGTATGGACAATGGAATCCCACACTGAGTATGTGTTGCACCAATCAATAGGCTTATAGCCTGCATAGAATGTAAAGGACAGGCTGTGGCTGCTGCTGCTGCTGCTTGCTTGCTTGCTGGCTTGTTGCCTCCTACCTGCTCTGCCATGGACTGTTTCTCCTCTCTGGTGCCCCTCTCCATACCACCCTACATTGGAACCAACCAACTATGGTCTGAAACTTCTACAAACTGTGAGTTGAAATAAACCTTTTCTCTTTTAACATGTGAGTGTTGATTATTGTGTTTCAGAAATGAGAAAAGTAACCAAGACATCAGGACTTCAGTCCCTGACTGGAATCAATACCACTTATACTACGGGCCTGCTCTCAGACTTTCTGGCTGTATCATGGTACTGGCTTTCCAGGGTCTCCAGAGTGCAGATGACCAATCCAGAAGCTTCTCTGCCTCCATAATAATGGGAGTTAATACTCCGTAATAGGTGGTTTTTGGTTCTATTTCTCTGGAGAACCCTAACTGATAGAGTGGATCAAACAGTCACTGAGGGTCTGGTTCCCAGAAGACTCAGTGGTCACTGCTCTGCCTTCTATCAGTTCAGCTGTGTTATTGAATCACTGGGTGGCAACAGTCTCAGGGGTGGGATCATAGCTTCTTAGGACAATGCTGAAGTTGGAAGCTCTGAAGTCAGACTCTGAGTTAACATCCGTAATAGGTGGTTAATGGGCTCTATGATTCACTGTGTACTTGGAAATGTTTCTTGGCTTTTCTGGATTTGATTTCTATAATATGGAAAAAGATAATAAGAAAACCTCATAGGACTGTGATAAGCAGGCCTATTCCTAACACTTGCAAAGCCAAAGAAAGAGTGTATAAAGAGCCTCCAAGTGCAAGATGGATCTACTTACCATTGCTCCAGATACCCCTCCATCCAGTATACTAGCTGAGTTAATAACTACCTGTGTTAGGAAGCTTTCTGTTACTGTAACAAATATCTGAGATTGGACCTGGGGATTTAGCTCAGCGGCAAAGCGCCTGCCTGGCAAGGGCAAGGTCGTGAGTTCGGTTCCCGGTACCAAAGAAAAACCAAAAAAAAAAAAAAATCTGAGATTATCAGCTTATAGGGAAAAGAAAACATTTATTTGAGCTCACAGCTTTGAAGGTGTCAGTACATAGCCCTGTTGATTTGGGGCCTGTAGTGAGGCAGCATATGATAGTAGGGAGTTACTTTACAGCCAGGAAAGGAGAGTATCTGGGTCCCAGTCTCCCTTTCCAGTGTATGTTCATAGCAAATGAAAGATCTCACACTAGGGCCCATCTCTTAAAGTTTTTCACCTCCTATCTGTAACATCCAGCTGGGGACTCAGCATTTAATATACATGTCCTTGGAAAACATTCCAGATCTACACTATAGCACCTTCATGGGGCTTAGGTTCACTCACTGGTGGCACCATCTTCCTTCAGGAGGATAGACCCAGGAAAAAGATGTATGCAGCCATAGAAAGGATAAGTGAAGGTCATGAGCACCCCTGGTGTTATCTAAAAGAGGGGACATAAGTTCCAAGTAGATATACGCTTTTGGCCCCAGAGTCTCCCCACCACGTGGGAAACACAGTCATCAAAGAACAGAGCAGCACTCATAGAACAAGCATGCTCCACATGCACTGGCCCCAAGGTGGGTACAGAGGTGAAGAGTTAATGATTGCTTAGAGCACAGAGACACTTGGTAAAGCTCTTATAAGTTGCTACTATATTTCATAGTTTCACCATGGTATCAAGCTGCGTAAGGTTCAACTGTCCCCTGAACCTAAGACCTACTAACAGATGACAAGGAATAAACTTTATTTGAATTGGAGAGAAAATAAAGCCAGTTTATTCCTTCAAAGAGAGTTCAAGGAGGTGATGGAATGAGGAGACAGACCCGGGGAGACAGAAAGCCTCAAGTTCCCAGCGGCTATCGTATTCTGGATTCATAAGGTCAAACTTTACAGCCCTGTTACTGCCACAGTTGATAATCCCTCTCAAAGATATGCTATCTATTTCATCTCTACATCAAATAATAAAAATGGCTTCTGTGTTTTCTTATAATGAAGGCTACAGAAAGAAGCAATGTGTGTTACAAGAATTAAAGAGATAGAAACATATTTCTATGAAGACATCATATGTACAAAGTGGTCCACTGAAATGTAAGTTAGAAAATGTAAATTACCTAGAGACATAAAAATGAACTTAAACTCAAACAGTTACAGGCAGTTTTGAGCTGAAACTACAGTGAAGTAGGAAGAGGAGCCCCAAAATTTAAGAAAGTGCTCACTCAGGGAGGTACAAGTATAGGATTGTCACCTAAAAGTGAGTCCCTCCTTAAATCTAAGTCCTTAATCCCTGATCTTCTCACTCTAGAGTCAAAAGCATCCTTTGTATCATCAAGGATTTTGGTTATTTTTATTTTATTATATAAAATAAGGTTTATATGAGGTTAAGAAACACTTAACAGCAGATCTACCTTCTTAACAAACTTTTACTTTTAAAATATAATATTGTTGCCTAAAAGCAAAATGTGTAACAGCAGATTTCTAACATTTATTCAATTTGTATGATTGAAACTTTGTGCCCTTGATTAGTAGTTTCCGATTCTCCATTTCCCAAATCCCTCAGTAATAAGCACTGTACAGTCTGAGTGTGTGAGTTTGACTCTTCCTGATACTGATGTAAGGGAATCACACAGTGTTTGATCTTCTGTGACTGGCTTGTTCCATTTAGCATAGTGTCTTCATGGTTCATTCGCATTCTCATATATCACAAGATCTCCTTCTGTTGTTTTTACATAAGCGTGATTTCCTTATCTGTTCATCCACTGTTGGAAATTTAAATATAAGGTGTGAAACTGTAAAACTTCTAGAAGAAGACATAGGAGAAAAATCCTCATGACATTGGTCATGACAACAATTTCATGGCTATGACATCAAAAAAACTGACTAGCAGGAAAATACCAAACTGAAAAGACTTTACACACCAAAAGAAACCATCAATAGTGTAAAAAGGCAATCTATGAAATGGGACAAAATATTTGCAAACTATACATTTGATGAGAGTCTAATTTCCAAAATATGTAGGTGCTCCTTTAACTCAATAGCAGAAAATAAGTAGGCAAATTTAAAAATGGGTTAAAGACTTGAACAGATATTTCTCCAAAGAAGACATACAAATAGTCAAAAAGTATATGAAAAGATATTTAATATTTCTAATCACTGGGGAAATGCAGATCAAAATCACAGTGAGGAATCACCTTGTACCATTAGCACAGCCATTATCCAAACACAAAAGGACAAGGGTCAATGAGGGTACAGACAAATTGAGACCCTTGTCCCTTATTAGTAGGAATGGAAAATAGTGTGGAATTTCCTCAAAAATTAAAGTTAGAAATATTTTTTCTTTTTTTATTTTAAAGAGGAAAAAACACAAAATTTCAATACAAAATATAGGAGAGTAACAATGGCTAATACATTAAGTATTGTTATCTTTCAATTAGTTACTCAGAGTACAAGATATTGGCATGTAATTGTCCAAACAGTATTAGCACAGATCCTTCTGCCCAATGAACCAAGTGAAATTAGTAATACAACTACTCCAATTATCTTTTATACATTTTTTTTCTTTTTGCTTTTCCCTTCCTTCTTTTCTCCTTTCCCCATCCAAGTTTCTCTTTCCTTCTGAATGAACAGTTTATTCCCATTTTACACTATCTGTACAGTATCATGGATCTTATTTACTCTTTCAGCTTCTCACACTAGGGAGACAACATGACATTTCCCTAGAACTATTTTATAATTTAGCAATCTCAATTTTGAGTATTTATCCAAAAGAATCACAGTCAGTACCCTAATGTTCATTAAAGCTCTAGTTACAACTATAAAGATGTGGAAATAACCAAAGCCTTTAAAAGTCCCAGCTAAGCTTTGAAACTCTCAAATATATGTTGACAAATTGAGGCTGGGGTTTTAGCTCAGTGGCACAGTGCCTGCCTGGCAAGCATAACGTCATGGGTTCAATTCCTGGTACTGGAAGAAAAACAAAGAAAACAAAAACAAAAAAAACAATCAAATATATGTTGACAAATTAACACACAAATATATTCACCCTATTATGTGCACACACCAGGGTTTGGTGGCAGCTTTAGAATGGGTATGCCAAGGTTTTGAATAGCTAGGGTTTTTCCCACCGGGAGCCACCCTCCCCACATGTGCAGAAAACTTGCACATCTGGAGGTACATCTTGTTTTCAGCTCACCTGAGCGGCTGTCTGAGACTGCGCACCAGGGTGAGCATATAGTGGGTGTGAGGAAGGGACAGACCAGCAAGTCCCAGGGAGGAATAAACGAGGCAAGCTCATAAATACATATACACTCCTTAGGATATTTTTCTCTGTTTCTATAGGTATTTGTGCTTTCCTTGGACTGTTTTGCATGTCACTGGAAGTTAAAGAAGACATAGTATATGTCCTAAAGACAAGCAGTAAAAATAATTTAACTCATTTCTTTCATGTCTGGGTGTATTAATTCCTGCTTACATAAGGAAATACAAAGAACAAACTGTAAACAAGGAATCATTTGGAATCAGATTATGCATGAATAATGACACACCTTCTCATCTAAGATGTGGGGGGAGGATCTAGTTTTACTGCCAGTGCCTCTAAAAAAATGGTTTTCTTTTTCAAAGGAAATTACTCAGTATGTAATAAAAACATGTTTTCTCCTCTAAAAGAATTAATTTACCTTTTGTGTCATGAGAAAATAAATGCAATCAATACTTCAATTTTCCTCCTTTATGGAGGAAGACAATTTCCAAGTTTGAACCTAGGGAATGGTCATTTAGCCTTGATTTCTTAATTCTCAGTTTGTTTCATTTATGCTCTCTCTGTTACATTCTCCTTACAGCCTCAGCTATCTTCAGGGTCTCTGCTTCCATCTCCAAATCTGAACTTCCTTTCCAGATGGCCCCTTCTTTCCACTGATCCCCTCCTCTCACAGTATCACCCTAAGTCTGAGAAACACAAAGCAATTCAGGATGAGCAAAAGGGCAAGCTAACCAGTGCAGGAAGGAGGAGTCAGCCTCATCTTTCACACTGGCATGTGTTGAGACTTTAAATTTGGTATCCAGCCTTGCAATCCTTTGCCTTTCTCACTTAGGAGAGAGATGACAAAGAGAACTTACATGGCAAGGCAGTTCTAAAGAATGGACATAAAAACTGCTCAGCCATAGTGTGATGTGGGCTCCATTTTACTAAAGTTCTCATTACTTTCCTCTTCTTTGTTATGTTTGGATGTAGCCATTGTACATCCCTTTGTTTTCACTTCCCAACAACCCTTTGTTTTCACTTCCCAACACAGAATTCACCTCTCAGTTGCCCCAAGGATCATTGCAATGATTGCTCACACTCTTCAGTTTTAGCTTTATTGAATCCCAGACAAAACAGTTAGAAAGATCCTTTAGGAACCATCTATTCATTTTTACAAATAACAAATGTTTATTAAGCATATTACATGTTGTCTTGATCTAAACCATGCCAAGCACTATATTAAACTCTGGAATAGAGATAGGAACAAAACATAAGGACATTTGCCTTTGGGGTGCACAATACTACTATTTCAGGCCCTGTGACATATGCAGGGATGCAGGATAACCAAGACATGGTAGCTTCTCTCCAGATATGCACAGGTTGTGGAAGGACACAGACTAACCAACCCCTTCCAATATAGTGCAGGGAGAACCAGAAAAGAAATGCACACATAACACAGGAGATGGGGGACAGAAAGAGGAGACCAACTGTGCTCAAAAACTCCAGAAATTCTTTCCAGAAGAGGAATCCTTCTCCTTGCTTGGTCTTCAAAAGCACATAAATACTCACTAAGAAAGCAGGACAAGAAGCGCAGTATGTACAAAGGATGCAGAGCCAGGAACCCCAACAGAACCTACTCAATCATTTATTTAGATCAATATGGACATGATATGGATACCTACTTATTTTTATGACATGACACTCTCACTATATATTATGTAACTCCAAGCCCACTTTCTGCTCCTACATTTTTTGTGTGTGCAGGAAATCAAACTCAGGACCTTGGGCTTGCCAGGCAGGTGCTGTGCCACTGAGCTATATCCCCAGCCCCTATCTTGCCTATTGAAACCTCTTCACATTGACTTCCATGCTCTTCTGATACACTTCTATAGTTTTTTGATCAATTTCTTTCTTTCTGGTATCAAAAGGTGATCAAGCCACATCCTGAATTTTCTCCACCCCAGCCCTGAAGTCCATTGTTCCTTCAAGGGGTTTTGTTCAGAGTTTTTCAAGCAAAACAATAGCAGGGTTTAGGACACTGGTTAGACCGAAGGCAGGGAGAAAACAGACATGAAAGAAGTAGAGGGTGTGATGGGACAAAGGGGCTGAGAATTACACTAAAGCTGGGTGGTGGGAATGAGGCTGAGTGTACATGTTTGAGGGATATTGTCCTATTTTTCACTTTTCTCCTGCAAGTTAAGGCATTCATACAAGGTAAGCACTAAAACTCAAGTCATAGAATATTGGGACTTCATTCACCAAGCCTCCCAAGGACGCTGTGAAGAGACACATCGGTGTCTGGTTTGGATGATCCGCTCTCGGGCTTCTGACGCTCCAGACATAGCACACTTGGGCATCTGTATCTTCACTTTCAAAGTAGATTTTCAGCTTCTCAAGTACAAAAGCATGTAGTGTACAACTCCAAATGCAGCTAAAATCAGAAAATAAATCCATGCTCACAGTAAGCGTTCAGAAAATACCATTTGGCTAATTGATCCTACAGTGATTCTGTAGGAAGATGCAAAGAATTTTCTTGCCTTTGGCACTGATGTGATTTCAATATTACAAAAAGCTATCATTCCTTTGATAGAAAATTATTAGCAACAAAACATTTGAGAACTTCATGTACTCTAGCCTTTGTATTAAATACTACAGAATTAGTTCTTTAATCCTTACAACAAAACAAGGGCCTATTATTGCCCCCCTTTTTAGATAAGAAGCCCAAGCCCTGGGTTCCTATTGTTAATAAGAATGGAACCTTAATTCCAACCCAGGCAGTATGACCCTGGAGCCATGCTTGAAACCACAATAACACGTTGCCACATGTTTCATCAAACATGCATTTGTTGAGCATCTATTAAATATCAGACACTGGGGACACAGGACAAACACAGACAAACAACATAACCCATTACTTTTTTCCTTAAAGCATTTTGTCTAGGACTTGCCAAGAGCCGTAGCTTTCTATGGTTTCTAGAAGGGCTTCCTGACCCAACAATGTTCACCAACAAGGTAGATCTGGTTAACTGAGTTCAAATCTCCACCATCCTATTTCACAGCAATGTAAGTTGGGGCAGCTTCTCAGTCTCCTGTTGCCCACTGGGGATAATGCTAATTCTGACCTCATAGGGTGCTGTGAGGACTCAGTGGGACACTGTACCTAAAGCATCAAGAATTAGGCTTGGCCAGGAAGTAAGCACTTCAGGAGTATCCATATAATTTATAAATCAACTTCATGATTTATGTGCATGTACCTGCCGTTACAGTTGTGCAGTGGGATGCATTCTGACATCTGCACTCACCGAGGAAGTCCTGCCGCATCAAGATCCAGCTATTGCTTTAGCTTCAGTGTAATTATATCTGTTTCATAGCAGTGCTTCAGGGATTGATGGCCTTCAGAACTGTGCTGAAGACATTATATACTCAATAAATATGAGCCGTTTTCATTATTATTAGCTGCCAAAAGCCACTCACTGGGGAGAGTTGCCTAGAAGCTCAGAACGGAGAAGCACAACTACAATTTTGAGGACATAAATAGCCAAAGACTTTTCTGAAAATGTGCTGTCACGGTGCGGCCAGGCAGCAGATGAGGAGCGACACCTGCGTGTGATCGGACTGTCGCCCATTTAAGCCCCAAAGATCTCTGAACTTCAGATGTGCATACAGGGAGTGACCACCAGAAATCCCAGCAGTACCCTGCTCCTTATCCATCCCAGGGTCTCGGAGAGGGAAAGCAGCCCCTCCCCAGGACACCATCAAAGAAGTTGCTGCCAAGAGAGATCCTCCCCTCTTTCTTTCAGCAGCTTTGATGGTGCTGCCAGATCACTGCCTCCCATCTGCAATCTGGAGTTTCATGTTTTAATAAAGTCTTGCCAAATAGCCATGAGTGTAGACTCCCAGGAAAACAAACACAAGGAGAAGTATTTTTGTCAAGGCAGGAGCCCTGCAGTGGTTGGCTGCTCTTACAGATAAGATATCTGTTCACCTTTCATAAATGTCAGGCTTGAAATAAAAAAGACAGGATAATGAGGTCTTATTTCCACAGAAGCAAGCATGCACCTACTAATTAACCCACAGACCACTAACAAACATGCTGCTTAGATGCTTTTGCTGCAATTTTCAGATGCACGAATAGCTTGGGCTCAAATGATCTGATTTTCTTACCCTCCTTTGTTATTTTTAAAATATTTTAAATGACAAATCAACCTTGTTTCATCAATTGAGCACACATTGTATTAGTCCCACTGTGCGCAAGTCATAATACCCACTGTGTAGGGCAGAGGGGGTCTAAGGAGGCTGCATTTTATGAAGGGAAGAGTCTGGATTTGAACTTCAGCCTCACTATCTCACATGTGGATTAAAAGGCCACCAGCCTCCCTAACTCACACTAAAAGGCGATAGTGTCACTGTCTCCTATAAGATGTTGTTTGGGATAAATGAGATCTCACAGGTGAAGAATGCTACCTCTTATGAAGAAGGAGCAAGCCAAGGAGGAGAAAGAGCTGGAAAAGGAAGGAAAGCAGGACAAGGAGAAGAGATGGCGGAGGTGACACAGGCAATGAAAACAGATGAGGCTGGAGAAGGAGCAGATGGAAACAATAAGGCCTCTGTGTCACTGAGGGTCTGTTAACAGAGGTACAAACAATTGGGCTGTTTTTATGTCAAAATTCAAACTTCCGGTGCCCCAGAATGTGGCTGTATCTGGAGACACAGCTTTGAAAGAGGTGCTGATGTGAAAAGAGGGCTGATCCTTGCTCCAGTCTGACTGGAGTCCTTCTGAGGAGATCATGACACAAGCACGAATACAGAAAAGATCATGTCAAGAGACAGGCATCTTCCACCACCCAAGGGCAGAGGCTTCGGAATGCAAGCCGCCTGCCATCATGCTGATTGCGTACTTCCAGCCTCCAGAACTTTGAGGAAAGAACTTTCTCTATTTCAGCTGCTCACTCTATAACACCCCTGGTAAACCAACGTAGGACAACTGGGGCCCAGAGCCAGAAAAGCATAACAGACCTTTAAAGAAGGCAAGTACATCCTACAATGGGGTTAGAAAGCAGAGAGGATAGGGAATTGGGAGGAAGTCACAAGCTGATGCTTTTGAGGTCCTTCAGCAAAATCCTAGCGTCCAGATGCATGGTGCTGTGTGTTTAGAGGATGCAGAAGAATCACAGCTTGGTAGACAGGTGTGAAAGGTGAGACCACAAAAGCATGGCCTGCCTGGTCCACAGAGACTTTGAATACTTTGTTCTGAAAATGATTAAAAGCTCTGGACAAGAAATGGATTTCAGAGGTGGAAATCAAAGGGAGAGAAACAATTCCAAACCCTTTTGCATGAGATATCTATATGTTTAAAAGAAAGTATTCTAAGAAATAAACTCAATACCTTTAGAAACAATGATTTTTACCTTCTGTACCTCTGAGAAGTGTTTTACTTCTTTCTTAACAATCACTGGATTTAATTCTAATGACCCATGGTAGATTGAATGGTGGTCTCTGTAAAAGATGCTTTGTGTCCTAACTCCCAGAACCTGTGTATGTGACCTTACTTGGAATAAAATGGTCTTCACAGATGTGTTTAAGAACCTCCAGAATAGATCGTCCTGGATAATCTAGGAAGGCCCTAAGTGCAATGGCAAGCATACTTATAAAAGGCACAGAGGAGAGATACATGAGAAGACAAGGTCATGTGAAGATAAAACAGTCACGAGTAAAAGCCCGTATGTTTTTGTGGAGTGATGTAGCCACAAGCCAAGGGATGCCTGGAACCACCAGAAGCTGAAAGAGGGACAACAAGATTCTCCCCTAGAACCTTCAGGGGTAGTATAGCCCATTATGACATGGGTTCCATACTTCTAACCTTCCTAACACTGAGATAATGCAGTGCAGTGTTTCAAATTTCCAAGTGCAGAGGAAGGGTCCTGATTCCCATGTGACCAACGAGAAAAGTGAGGCTCTGTTCTCACTTGAGTGAGTCACTGATCACTGGATCTAGGAATCTTCTCAGTGGATGGACAGGCCCTACATGTAGTCTGTGACATCAAGAGATATGTGGTAGATGGATTAAGCAGCCAGTGAGCCATCCCTTAAACAGTGGTGTGAGAAAATATATGGAGCTGTGGGACTTTAACCAAAAGATGATGGCTGGGAAGGCCTTAATAGATAGTAACACTCTGGGACAGTGCACTGGTACAAGCCAAGGTCAAAGAAGATCTGATATGACAACAGTCCAGCAGATGGCAGGAAGCAGGACCAAAAAGGCCCTAAATTCCTAGTTGACAAACCTTTGTTGACCCGTAACAAAACTACTTACCAAAGCCAGTTCTTTGGATTCATTGTTGACAAGATTCATCCTTACTCCATAGCTGAACTGTCAATTGCTGACCTTGCGTGGAACACCAAAAGCCCTATTGAGTGAGCACAACCAAGTTTATCAGATTGACTGCACTAACAACGAGCACTGGACAGTATGTATAGGTCTTTAGAACCAGGGCTGAGTGACTTTTGGGTGAGTCTTACAAGGTAGGAAAGTGGGTGGAATAAGACAGACTTTATACCAAAACAGTTTTGGAGTAATGGATACAGTGAGCTTGTCTGGATGATCCAGAAATGATCTAGTCCAGAGGTGCTTAATCACATCTCTGAAGACCCTTTTATTACAAATAAGGTCACATATACAGCAAACTTTGATGAGTACACTGTGAGTTATAAAAAGTAAATGTGTTGAGGTGACTCTCAGGTACCAGTAGCTCCTGAATTAGCATCAAAGTTATCTTTACTTTACCCTGTGTTGTTTAACACAGACAGAAGAAAGAATGGTGGTTTAAGCTCTCACACTAGATATGATCCACCATGTTAGAGACACTATAGTGCTCTAGGCCTCTGTGTGTGTGCATGTGTGTGTGTGTGTGTGTGCATCTACTTCCATAAAGTTTTAATTCCAATGGGAGTATGAAGAGGAAAAAATAGAACACAATAATCCCACCAAATTCATGATGGATTTGCTCCAGGACCTTCCATGAACACCCGAATGCATGGATGTTCAAGTTCCCTATATAACATGGCGTAGTATTTGCATAGAACCTACACACAGCCTTCTCTATATTTAGTGATGTCTAGGATATTTATAATAGTTAACACAACATAAATGTGAGTAGGTGTTATACTGTAATGTTTAGGAAATAATGGCAAGAAAAGAATTCCTACATTTTCAGTACAAACACATTCTTTTAAAAAAATATTTTTGGTCCATGATTGGTTGAATCAGCAAATGTGGAATCTGTGGATATGAGAGCTGGTGCTATTCTATAAGTACATACATACATACATACATACATACAGAAGGATGAATTTCAAACAGTGCCAAATTCTATGGAGAAAAATAAAACAAAAAAAGAAAATGGGAATTGTAATGGGAAAGAAAAATGGAAAACTATTAGTAAGTGTTGTGGGACAAACTACCTTGTGACCATGAAAGACTGAGTGCCTGGGTAAACAAATTTAAATAGACCTCATCACTTAAGAACATCTGAGAGTGTTGAGTTTGCCAGGGTGTGAAAAGAGCCCAGAGAGAGAATTTCCTAGACATTCTTGGCTGGGCAGCCTTCCTTTCACAGAAGACCTTTGTGCCCCAGGGGAATATGTTTAAGGAAGACACTGGTCAGCAAGGAATGCCCCTCAGATATACAGAACCGGCTGGAAGCACAAGGAGCCAGTCAGAGGGGTGTGAGGGAGACCATGGGAGCTGAGGGCGTTCCCCAGAGCGATGGTGACTGCTTCAGCACAGAGCGGGAGGGCAGAAGAGGGTAACAACCCATGAACTTCTCTCGGGCTGTTCAACCAGGACTCGGGAGCCCTCCTGCCCAGGAGATGAGCACACCCGTTCAGCTCTCCTCTGTCCTTTCTGTTCCTATCACAAAACTGAGCCCAGTGTATGCTGAGCGAAGAAAAGACTAGAGAAGGAAACCAGCTGGACACCAACAGGCAATTTGTGGAACATAATGAGTTAACTCATTTTTAAATTTGTATTTATTTATTTATTTATTTATTTGAGATAAAGCCTCACTATTGAGACGAGGCTGGCTTTGAATGTGTAATCCTCCTGCCTCAGCCTCCCGAAGGCTGGTGTTACAGCCAGGCACCGTCCAGGCCTTTCTCCACCACTCCCTACTGAATTAGCGAGAATTTTAGTCTACTTTACCACTATTTCTATGCCCTTTGGACATTTCCAGGTGCCAGGGAACCCGTGCCCATGTTACCTGGCCAGGAGGATGCCAGCTCCGTCTAGCATCTGCAGACTGCACCCCAGACTGCCACACCCCTTGCCCCCCCCCCCGCCGCAGCCTGCTAGCTGCACTTGTTCACCTCAAACACTGCGTGTCACAGATGAAGCCAGATACTGAGTGTCTGCTCGCCACACGCCACTCCCCGGCCCATCATGAATATAGTCGATGTGCTCTGGCCACCCTGGCCTGGCAATTTGGGGAAAGAACTTCCTTACTCCTGCAAGGGCTGCACGCACTGAGGGGACAGCACCCTGCAGAGGTGTCCGGCCCTGTGATGTCACTCTCAGGCTCTTCTCTCCAATCCTGGGGCTTCTTCCCCTCTCTGCTTCCTGCTCCCTGTGAGCCCCCAATGCTGGCTACAATCTGTCTTAACTGAGGACCACCCCAGGCCTTCAGACGGGTCTAAATGTCCCTGGACTCCCATGAAGGGGAACGTTCAGAGGAACGTTTTCTCCAACAGCATATCTGACCTCATGTAAACTTCAGGGTGCAAAAAGGAGGAGGAAATCTTCCCACTTCTGTTCTGCTGTGCTGGAACCCATGTAAATGCGTGTGTGTGCAAGTGCAGGGAGCCACAGCATTCGTCAAGCTCACTGAGGCCTCCGGGCCTGTCAGGGCACTGGGAGCCACCATCTCCCTCACACACTGTGTGTTTGTTCCCCCCAAAGCAGACAATGAAGCTGTTCCTCTTCAGACCTCTGGGATCGAGCTCTGGCTTCCAGGCAAGCAGCATGGTGACCCTCACTGTGTTCTGACAGACCCCAGGCCACCCTCTCCATGCTCAGTCTCGCTCCTCCCACCATGCACTGCTCAGCTCCACAGGCTTCTGATCCCTCTTTGGAAACATTTCGTTCCAATAATTTTTTTAAGGTTGCCATAAAAACATGGAATTATTTTTTTTTATTTGAAATTCATTTGCAGTCTTCTTTTATAGATGTGTCATTTATACAATGGCTGGAAAACTTTCTAAAATCAGATATAATTTATGAACCCCTTCTTTTCGGCATAATGTCATTTTGTACATTAAAATGATAATGACTGGAGAGATCATATGTGTCTCTCCCTCAGTGAGTGGGGGGAGATAGTGGGTGGGGGCTGTTCTGGTGCTTCTAAAACAAGCCCCCTGTGCTGTGTTCAACCCCCACCAGGGGCTCTCAAGAAAGGGAGAAAATAGAAAAAAATTTATTTTTCACATCTCTGATATGAGAATAATAGTGAAAAATCAGCGCATGCCCCTTGCAAGACAATAAGGGTTTGACAAATGGTGAATGATGCCATTTGTATAGAATGTTTCCAAATTATACTTGATGTTCAAAGAAAATATCCTTGAAGGTGGTTGAGGGCAGTATGTACAGCTATCCTTATCCCTAGCTGCATATAAGAATTGTTGAAGGAAAATTTTAAAAATGTGGAGCTCACTATGAACATAACGTGCTCTCTGAATGGAGCCATTAGAACAGTAACCTTCTGAAGATGGGCCCCAACCATGGCCAGCACAGGGGACCTTGGGCTGCATGACCTTGGACTGATAAAAGCTGACACTCACTCCCTGATACAGACCAAGGGGTGTTCCACCTTTTGTACCCAGTGACTCTCAACCTATGAGATAGGTGCTATTGTCATCCTGGTTCTCAAATTAAGAAACTGGGGATCAGAGACTTTCAGCAACTTGTCCAAAGCCACAATGCCAGGGAGTAGCTAAGACAAGATTTGAACCAGACCATCTAGAACCTGTGATTTATCCCTCTACCTGCTGTCCTCCTGAAGGATCTCAATACAAATTTCTAAGTAGTCTAAATATGAATATGAATGATCTATAAATTGGGGCAATTTTTAATGTTCTGCTGTTCAAGAGTCCTCATTTTTAAAATGATGAAAAGGAGACACTGAAAAATGGAGTACACTGCTGCCATTGCTAAGCTAGCAAGGCAGACATGGTCCCCATGTCTGAGGTCCTGAGACTTTATGTAAAATTCCTGCCTTATTTCACAGTAAAACAAGTTGGAGGGTGGCTTTGCCTCTAGAGCACCCCAAGGAAAGTGAAAATATATCAAGGGGAGAACTCATGCCCCAAATTTAAAATAATGGCACAAATCTTTAATCCATTTATCCCACCACAGCTTCCAGGAGACAGACTAAAGTGACACTCAGCATAAGCAAATTTCCATGGAACACATCTGTTATTTATTGGACTCTGATCTGTAAGCTGCGAGGTATAAAAGAAAAGAAAGAAGTATAATCCTGTCTTTGCTGGAATACACAACCACACACTCACACCCCATATGCAGAATGCTGAACAGAGAGGAGAATAGAGCTCTGCACACACCTCTGTGTAAGAAGGATCTGCAGGCCAGTTCCTGGCCTCTCCCTTTTTCCCTTCTCCTCCAGGGAGATCCTCTTGCCTCAGCTGCCCAGAGTGCTGGGATTACGGGCAATTGCCACCACAGCCAGCTTGAAGCAGTTGTTCAAGGAAAGTGCAGAATGACATTCATCACTGGATAGAGTCACACGCCCACAGATCTTGCCAGCCTTTCATTCCCTCGACACCCTGCAGTGGAGATGGGGACGCCATCTTGGCCCTCTGCCTCTCCTCATGCACATTCAAGTGCCTCAGTCACTTTGCACTGGCACTAATCACCAGTCCAGAGCCTGTCAGGTGCACTGCTCTGGATTCTGAGTCCAGGGCCGTAGGCATCTGGAAGAGGCTGAAGATAATGCATTTTAACCCCAGGTTTCCAGAAACAGTGTAAAACAGCATTCTGCCAGCCATCTGCTCCACCCCGCCCTCACGTGAGTCATCAGAATGACTAACATTGCACTGCCATAAGTAGCTGTATCCTAAATGTGCCTCCCCATGACATCCTCCGAGCAAACACTGAACTAGAAATAATGCTTCAGGTTTTTCTCTGGAAGCAGGCACATAGCTCTTACTCAGATCAATGGATACTAATTACCAAGCAAGCACAGAAACTTGGGCTTAGATATTCTACAAATAAAAGGGGATGAAAGTAATTTTTATTCCTGAAAAAGAAGAATTAAAAGGAGGAGAGGAAGACTTGGTGGAAAAGAGGTATAAGTAAGAAAATGAAAGAAAAGAAGAATAAGGAAAGAAATGGTTCTTAGCCATCCACGACCTCTTTAAAAACAATGCTTTTATGAGTTAAATGCAAATGAATTGGAAAAAAAAAAACATGTGGGTTAAATTCCCACTGAAAACACTCATGGGTTTAAAATTTTAAAGGGAAACAGGCCCCAGGCCAAGTGCATTGTGGTTTGGGCCAAGCCCAGGGGGAGGTGCTCTGGCACTAGGGGAGCCCAGGTGTATGGCATGGAATCCTAAGGTGGTCCAGGCATCTCTCTGTCAGAGCCAGAATTTATGGGGTCTTCTGACCTGGCCAAGGGCAGGAAGGTGCAGATTTGGCTATGATAGACTCTTGGCTCTCCACTGTAGCTAAAAATCTGAAACCAATTTCTTGGTTTCTTCCTTGAGCTTGCAAAAGACACATTCTGAGCAAAGCTGGCATCAAACCTAAGCTCAGTAATAGATTTCCTACCTAGATATGGAATGAAGCTATATGTCTGGCCTTACGGTGTTCATATCTTACAGCTGTTTAAGAGCCTTCTTTTATATATAGAGGTACAGGGATGATTTTGACACTTAACAGGCATCCTTTATTGAGACCTACTGTATGCTAGGGTGTATTAAAAAGTTGACCTTTGTCGGCTACCCTATCAGAGTGGTTACCCAATGAGAACTATCAGTCTGAAGGGCTAGGGGACTTGTCTAAGGTCCCACATGTCATTTCTAGTGTGAGAGAGGAACAGAGAGGGGAGGAGCCAGTCTGTCACACTATAAAGCCATCTTCACAGTTGCCTTAACCACTTTGTTAGAGTATGATTTCAAACGTAATTTTCAAATGTATACAACAGCCATCAGCAAAGCCCAAGGGATTCAGTTACAGAAAGCAGTCACAGATGATAGCACCTGCCATCTCTCAGGGAGTACTTCTAGATGGGCTCTTACCTGTTTGGTGTATGCAGGCAATCAAATATTTCAGTACTCATCGGAGAAAACCATAGACATGTAAATACATTGGAGAAAATAGAATAATGCATTTTAAATGTGCAACTTAAGTGTAATGTAAGTATAATTATCTCTATGGCTCTCTTCCCCAAAATAGTCATCCAAATGTATCCGTGACACAAGAAAAATTGCTCTTTCATTGCCTGTATGTTACTCTGTTCCTTATACCTTTCAATAACATTGGCTTTTATTAATTTCTTATAACCTATCTTAACTATATTTTAAATGTCTGCCTCTTTCACTTGATTCTGAAGTAGAGACTACACCTGATGCACCTGGTACACCTACTTTGGATTTCGCACTTTTAAGGCCAATTGCATATGGTCGACAAATGTGTGACATGTGCGCCATTGCTCTACTCTCCCATACCAGTGAGAGGCATTACTAATCAATCACTGCACTGAGCCTCTTTCTGGTCTTAGAATTCTTCAAGATAGCTTATAGGTAGCCATGACCACAGATGGTACAAAAAATGAATTCCTTCCCACATTCCTGACCTTATGCCTAAATATGAAGGTTTCCTTAGATAAGAAGAGCTCTGAAATATAAAATACCAATAGTAGAAGCCCCCAAGTCAACATGCTGCTCTGATAAGGGCTGGATATAGGCAAGTGACCTAAGTTGAATAACTTCACAAGAGATTCTACAATTTGGATCTAAAGGAAGATATCTACGTATTTTCGAGTGGTAAAGCCTAGAGATAGGAAATTAGCAGGTATGACAGACTATGAGAAAATTTCCCTTTATAAATAAAACTGTCTTGCAGGGGTGGATTGGAAACTTCTTGGCGCATGTGATTTCTGATGGCTGATCATCTCAGAGGATCTAATGAACACTGAATCTTTATGCTGGTTTTGTTGCATAAGCCAAGTGAAGCAGATTTGAGCCCTAACTAATTCATAGTACATTTTAAAGTCATAGGAAGTTGAGAACATATTTTTTTTTATTTTTTTGCAT